GCCCCAGGGGAAGGCAGCAGTAGCCAGGTTCATGGCACTGTGGCTGGCTCTGCTGTACAGAAGGGCAGGAAAAAGAGTGGAAGGGCTATAGTCATAGGGGATTCGATTGTAAGGGGAGTAGACAGGCAGTTCTGTGGTCGAAAACGAGACTCCCGAATGGTATGTTGCCTCCCAGGTGCACGGGTCAGGGATGTCTCCGATCCACTGCAGGACGTTCTGAAGGAGGAGGGTGAACAGCCAGCTGTCGTGGTGCATATAGGCATCAATGATATAGGTAAAAACCGGAATGAGGTCCTACAAGCAGAATTTAGGGAGTTAGGAGCCAAGTTTAAAAAGTAGTAATCTCAGGATTGTTATCGGTGCCACGTGCTAGTCAGAGTAGAATTGAAAGAATAGGCAGGATAAATGAGTGGCTTGAGAGATGGTGCAGGAGGGAGGGGTTCAGATTTTTGGGACATTGGGACCAGTTCTGGGGGAGGTGGGACTATTACAAATCGGACGGTTGACACCTCGGCAGGACTGGAACAATGTCCTAGGGGCTGCTTTTGCTAACGCTGTTGGGGAGGGTTTAAACGCATGTGGCAGGGGAATGGGAACCAAATGAGGAGGTTAGTGGACAGTAAGGAGGTAGTAACTAAAGCCTGTAAGGAACTGGATAATGAAGTCAGTGTGACTAAGGGGAAGAGTAGGCAGAGAGCAGATGATGAACGCAAAGGTACAGGTGGTCTGAGGTGCATTTGTTTTAATGCGAGAAGCGTAGTAGGTAAGGCAGATGAACTTAGGGCTTGGATTAGTACCTGGGAGTATGATGTTATTGCTATTACTGAGACTTGGTTGAGGGAAGGGCAAGGTTGGCAACTAAATATCCCAGGATATGGATGCTTCAGGCGGGATAGAGAGGGAGGTAAAAGGGGTGGAGGAGTTGCATTACTCGTCAAAGAGGATATCACAGCTGTGCTGAAGGAAGGCACTATGGAGAACTCGAGCAGTGAGGCAATATGGGCAGAGCTCAGAAATAGGAAGAGTGCAGTAACAATGTTGGGGCTGTACTACAGGCCTCCCAACAGTGAGCATGAGATAGAGGCACAAATATGTAGACAGATTATGGAAAGATGTGGGATCAACAGGGTGGTGGTGATGGGAGATTTTAATTTTCCCAACATTGACTGACTGGTATTCGCTTAGTGTTAGGAGTTTAGATGGAGCAGAATTTGTAAGGAGCATCCAGGAGAGTTTTCTAGAGCAGTATGTAAATAGTCCAACTCGGGAAGGGGCCACACTGGACCTGGTGTTGGGGGATGAGCCCGGCCAGGTGGTTGAAGTTTCAGTAGGGGATTACTTTGGGAATAGTGATCACAATTCTGTAAGTTTTAGAATACTGATGGACAAAGATGAGAGTGGTCCTAAAGGAAGAGTGCTGAATTGGGGGAAGGCCAACTATAGCAAAATTTGACAGGAGCTGGGGAATGTGGATTTGGAGCAGCTGTTTGAGGGTAAATCCTCATTTGATATGTGGGAGGCTTTTAAAGGGAGGTTGATGAGAGTGCAGGACAGACAGGTCCCTGTGAAAATGAGGGATAGGAAGGGCAAGGGAACTATGGATGACAGGTGAAATTGTGAGACTAGCAAAGAGGAAAAAGGAAGCATACGTAAGGCCTAGGCGACTGAAAACAAACGAAGCTTTGTAAGAATATCAGGAAAGTAGGACCAATCTGAAATGAGGAATTAAGAGGGCTAAAAGGGGCCATGAAATATCTTTAGCTAACAGGGTTAGGGAAAATCCCAAAGCCTTTTACTCGTACATAAGGAGCAAGAGGGTCACTAGAGAAAGGGTTGGCCCACTCTAGGATAAAGGAGGGAAGTTATGCGAGGAGTCAGAGAAAATGAGTGAGATTCTTAATGAGTACTTTGCGTCGGTATTCACTGAGGAGAGGGACATGATGGATGTTGAAGTTAGGGATAGATGTTTAATTACTCTAAGTCAAGTCAGCATAAGGAGGGGGGAAGTGTTTGGTATTCTAAAAGGCATTAGGGTGGACAAGTCCCCAGGTCCGGATGGGATCTATCCCAGGTTACTGAGGGAAGCGAGAGAGGAAAGAGCTGGGGCATTAACAGATATCTTTGCAGCATCCTTGAGCACAGGTGAGGTCCCGGAGGACTGGAGAATTGCTAATGTTGTCCCCTTATTTAAGAAGGGTAGGAAGGATAATCCAGGTAATTATAGACCAGTGTGCCTGATGTCAGTGGTTGGGAAGCTGCTCAGAAGATACTGATTGATAGAATCTATTTACATTTGGAAGAAAATGGGCTTATTAATGATAGGCAGCATGGTTTTGTGCAGGGAATGTCATGTCTTATCAATTTGATAGAATTCTTTGAGGAAGTGACAAAGTTGATAGATGAGGGAACGGCTGTAGATGTCATATACATGGACTTCAGTAAGGTGTTTGATAAGGTTCCCCATGGTAGGCTGCTGGAGAACGTGAAGTCGCATGGGGTCCAGGGTGTACTAGCTAGATGGATAGAGAACTGGCTGGGTAACAGGAGACAGAGAGTTGTAGTGGAAGGGAGTTTCTCAAAATGGAGAACCGTGTTGGGACCACTGTTGTTTGTGATATACGTAAATTCCCCTCACAATAAACTGTAACACTTGATTAGCTTTCCAAATTCCTTGCAGTACCTTCGTGCTAACCTTTTGCAATTCTTGTTTGGGATCACAAAGTTGCTCTGATCTCAGATTTCTACAATTCCTCGTTATTAAGCTATGATGGGTGGCATCTGATAGACCTCTGAGCTTTGGTGAAATGATGACAGAATTGGACGAGAATTCCAATGGGGCTTATCTTAGCATTGAGAGCAACTCCTGTCATCTTGCGTACTTTTCACAAGCATCATAGCGAGTTTTTTGCCAGGCAGTGATGTGATGCCAATTTTTGCTTTTAAACATCTTATTAACAGCCAACTTTGCCACATTAGTATTCAGACTTCTATCTTACTAAACTAGCTAAACAAGCTTGATGTTGGGAAAACTTGATAAGGAGCCAAATCTGGTGGATTCATCCACTTGCTCTAACTACCTTCATACTGGGCAACATCTCAGGGAATGATCCATGGGCACCAGCTACACACATCCTTTATCCACAGACATTAACATCCAGCATCTGACAACCCATCATGACCATCATGGCACCTCTGTGATACACTGGCAGCACACTGATAAAGCACAGCCTTGCATTGCAAGACATACTGGAACTAGCACTGAAAAGGCAATGTAGGACACTTTGTGCACATGACCGGCACCCAGTTCACCAATTGGACCACAATGCATCCTAGGGCTGCTACTTGCTCACTTAGCTTCTACTTGCATGCTTGTCGCATCCCTGCCTTGCAAAGCCTTGTTATGCCATGCCTGCTAGTGCTTCAGCCAGAGCCAAAGACTGCCACTACTGCCATTTTATTGTAGACCATAGACAGGCTGCTTGTCATTAGGAACCTGACAAGGAAAATACGGGGAGGGCGTAGGGGCACATCTTGGTGAATGCATATCAATTGAAAAACTATGGAAACAAAAAAGTGACTCTGTAGCTTTCAGAGAATGATGTTTTTATAAAATTAAACAATTAACCTACCTTGCAGGTAGGTTTGCTAGTGCTGCTGGGAGGAGTTTAAACTAATCTGTCAGGGGGAGGGGACACAGAAAATCAATGAAACAGAGACGCATTATGCAAGGGAAGCAAGTCAGAGTGAGTTCAGCAATGCTGAGTGTCAAAAGAGTAAGGCAAGGTTGGATGGTCTTTAATGCTAGGAGTGTACTAGTCAAGACTGATGAGTTACTGGTGTGGATTGACACATGAAAGTATGATATTGTTGCCATTGCAGAAACATGGTTGAGGGAAGGGGTGGATTGGCAACTCAGCGTTCTAGAGTATAGCATCTTTAGACGAGACAGAAGAGGGTGTAAAAAGGAGGGTGGTGTAGTATTAACTAAGGAATTAATTACTGCAATAAGGAGAGATGATATCTTGGAAAGGTCCTTAAACAAGTCTTTGTGGATTGAACGTAGGAATGTAAGGAGGCAGCTCCTTTACTGGGAGTGTATTATAGGCCCCAAAATGTCAGGGAGAAATAGAGGAGCAAATATGTAGACAGTTCACAGACGTGTGTAACAGGATTAATTGTGTAAGTACAGCATGGAAACAGACCCTTTGGTCAAACTCATCAATGCCGACCAGATATCCTAAATTAGAATAGAAGAGCCTTTACTGTCACGTGCACTCGATTGAGCACAGTTAAGGGCATTGAACCCAGTGAGTGTCACTTCCAGGGCATTGAACCCAGTGAGTGTCACTTCCAGAGCATTGAACCCAGTGAGTAGCAATGACTGGGTATTGAATACAGTGAGTATCACTGACAGGACTGAATGCAGTGAGTGTTACTTACACGGCATCGAACACAGTGAGTGTCACTGACAGGACATTGAACACAGTGAGTGTCAGTGACAGAGCATTGAACACAGTGAGTATCAATGACAGGCATTGAACACAGTGAGTGTCAGTGACAGAGCATTGAACACAGTGAGTATCAATGACAGGCATTGAACACAGCGAGTGTCAGTGACAGGGCGTTGAACACAGCGAGTGTCAGTGTGATTTTATTTGTCAGCACATTATCTGGTCACATTGTTCTCTGTCTTCATTTCCCAACTGCAGTTTGTTCCTTTTTTCAATTTCAGTTTTTGTAATGTTTTTGTGTCTTTTTTGTTTTTGCTCTAAAACTGGGAAGCGGCCATTTCAGTGCTGTTTTCGGTTTATTTCATTTCATAAGATGTGTGGCTGACTTTTCAGAGGCTCATACCAGCAGATAATTTTGTCACTTTATTCAATTTTGTTGTCCTTGGCTTTGATTCTTACTTGTGCCTGTGAGTATGATGGAAATGTTCTCTCTACTGAATGATGAATGGAGTCCAGCAGCACACACTTGATTGTATCTCCAGACTGAAGATGGAACAATGGGTTTAATGATCTTAATAAACTTGGTAAGTGTCAGCTGTGAGTTGCTAAGCTAGTGATAGATTGGTTGTATTTCTGATTAATTGTTTTTATTTTCTGAGGGAGCACTTCAGTTTGGGTATGTGTTTCCAGTGAAAACTGGGAAATATACAGACAACTTGGGAAGCATTCCCAATTACCTCACTAGATACATGAGGGTTTGAGTACTCAAATCCTTCGCTAGAGTTGAGCTGCCTATATATGAATATTTTATCTTGCAATCTCTCAACTAAAGCAATATTTCAACAGATTTTTACATGTAACTGTAACCACAGATATAACATGATTCATAAATCTAATGAAAGGAAAGCAATAAAACCAATGAATCAAACTGATGGAGTTTCTTCATTGAATAGTTCGGGTTTCCCACAGGCAATTAGACTGCGGAGGGAAAGGCCTGGTCGAGGGGATTTCTGCTGCTGAGACCCTTTGGCCAGTTTCTAATCTTAGCAAGATGGTGTTCATTGGCCTGCTCTCAATTAGAGCCACACACAGCAACAGGAGCAGCAGCAGCTCCTTTGCAACGACTTGTAGCTGAACCAGCAGAAAGAGGGGATTGGGGTGGGTGGTGCGAGAGAGAGACCGCAGCAGATAGAGAGTGCAGCAGAGAGACAGAAGGAGACAGAGACCGCAGCAGAGAGAAAGAGGGTGGCAGAGGCAGTGGGGGGAGGGAGAAGAGAGGGAGAGACAGAGAGGGCAGCAGAGAGTGAGAGAAGGAAGCAGAGAAAGAAAGAGAGGAGAGGGGAAAGAGTGAATGAGAGAGAGAGGGTGGCAGCAGAGAGAGAGAGAGAAGGGGGAGTAGAGAGGGAGCAACAGAGACAGAAAGAGAGAGAGAGGGCAACAGTGAGAGAGGGGTCTGAAGAGAGAGAGGGGTTGTGGTCAACAGAGGGTAGAGGGAAACAGAGTGGGCAAGCGAGAGAGAACTGGAGAGAGAGAGAGATAGAGAGTGGGCAACAGAGTGGAAAAGGAAAGAGAGAGGGCGGGAGAGGAAGAAAGAGAAGGCAGCAGAGAGAAAGGGATGAGCAGCAGAGAGACAGAGAGATAAGGCAACAGAGTGAGAGCAAGAGAGTGGGCAACCAAGAGAAAGACAGTATGGATAACAGAGAAATAGAGAGAGGGAGAACACCAGAGAGAGAGAGAGAGAGAAAGAGAGATGGGGAGAGGCAGGAACCAGTAAAAAAAGAGAGAGAGGAGCAGTGAAACAGCTGACAGAGAGGAGAGAGAGAGAGAGAGAGAGACAGAGAGGTGTGGGTGGTGGGTGGATTACTATCTGTGACATAGGGTGAGAAGAAGAGATGGAGTGTCTGAACAGTTAGGCGCAGGTGTCTGGGGATGTCACATCAGCTGGTGTGTGATCCCTACAGATTTTACTGGGCTGCCTTCTCCAAGCTGTGTGTTATCATGTCCATGTCTCTCCCTGAATCTCATAGAATCCCTACAATGTGGAAGCAGGCCATTTGGCCCATGGAGTCCACACCGACCCTTCGTAGAGCATCCCACCCAGATCCACTCCCTGTAACTCTGCATGTTTCCATAATAACTCACACAGCCCGCACATGGGTATTACTATGGGTAATTTAGCATGACCAATCCATCTACACATCTTTGGACAGTGGGAGGAAACTAGAGCACCGAAGGAAACCTACATAGACACAGGGAGAACGTGCAAACTCCACACAGACCGTTACCCAAGACTGGAATCAAACCTGGTATAATCCCAGCTGCTCTAATCTAACCTCCTCGTGGGAGCATTCAGGACAGAGATGTGGAAAACTCTTCACTCAGAGGGCTGGAATACTTGTGAATTCTCCAGCCCAGAGGGTGTGGAGGCTCCACATTTGAAAATATTTAAAGCTGAAGGAGATAGACAATTGACCACTCTGACATGGAAATGGAGATAGTAACGGAGGATCAGCCTTGCTAATACTGAATTGGAAAGATAAGTGGGAAGACAAGAGGTGAAGATCACAGAAAGAGTCTACAGACCTTGGCAGATGGAATATAAATTGAGAAAACACGAGTTTATGTACTTTAGCAGGAAAAATAGAGGAGCTGAAAATTATTTAAATAGAAAAAGAGTACAGAAAGCTTTTTGATTTCATTTGATCTTATTATTGTCATATGTACAGAGATACAGTGAAATGTATTGTTTTGCGTACTATCCAGGCAAATCATAGATTAAATCAGGATAATACAATAGAGTGCAGATTACAGCTACAGAGAAGGTGCAGACAAAGATCAACTCTAATATGAGAGGTCTGTTCATAAGTCTGAAAACAGCAGGGAAGAAGCTGTTCTTGAATCTGTTGGTACAAGTTTTCAAAGTCTTATATCTTCTGCCCGATGGAAGAGGGTGGAAGAGAGTATAACTGGGTTGGGAGACACCTTTGATAATGTTGGTTGTGTTCCTGGGGCAGCGGGAAGTATAGATAGAGGCACTGAACAGAAGGCTGGTTTTTGAGATGGACTGGGAGAAGGAGCAGAGCCTTATGGTCTGATTCATGACTCTCTGAAATTTCTTGTGGTATTGGGAAGAGCAGTTGCCATACTATCTATAAAAATTGATGAGTCATTGTGGACATACTTCCTTCGCCTTTTGAGGAAGTGGAGGCTTTGATCTGCTTTCTTAACCAACCAGGACAGATTGTTGGTGATATTTACTCCGAGGACCTTGAAACTTTTGACCATCTCCACCTCAGCACCACTGATACAGAGAAGGGCGTATCCTCCACTCCACTTCCTCAAGTCAGTGACTAGCTCCTTCATTTTGCAGGAGAGCTTGTTGTCTTTACAACAGGCCATTAAGTTTTCTTGTACTCTGTCTTGTTGTTTAAGATCTGACCCATTACGGTGATGTCATCAGCAAACTTGTAAATGGAGTTAGAGCAGAATTTGGCCCCACAGTCATGAGTGTTATTAGGAGTAGAGTAAGGGGCTGAATACGCAGCCTTGCAGGGCACCGGTGTTGAGGATTATTCTAGAGGAGGTGTTGTTGTCTATCCATATTGATTGCGGTCTGCAGGTCAGTAAGTTGAAGATCCAGTTGGAGAGGGTGGAGCGGAGACCTAGGTCTTGGAGTATAGAGATGAGTTAGGTTGGAATTATGGTTGTTGAAGGCAGAGCTATGTTCATTAAGTAGGAGTCTAATATCGGTGTCTTTGTTGTCCAGGTGTTCCAGTGATGAGTGTAGGGCCAGGGAGACAGCAACTGCTGTGGACCTATTGTGATGGTAGGTGAATTGTAGAGGATCAAGGCAATCTGGGAGACTGGAGTTGATGTGAGCCATGACTAACCTCATGAAGCACTTCATAATTATGCATGTCAGAGACACCGGGTGGTAGGTAGTCATTAAGCACGCTTCCTGATTATTCTTTGGCACCAGGATGATAGTAGTCTTCTTGAAGCAGGTGGGAACCTCAGATTGGAGTAAGTAGAGGTTAAAGATGTCTGTGAATGCTCCCATCAGCTGATCCATGCAGGATGAGGGCATGGCCAGTGCCTCCAACCGGGCCAGTCACTTTCAGTGGGTTCACTCTCAAGAAGGCAGATCTGACATCTGCGGCAGTGACTGTGGGTATAGGTGCACCTGAGGCTGTTGGGGCAGCTTACATCATTTCACTGACCTTTTGTTCAAAACAAGCGCAGAATACATTGAGCTCATCGGAGAGGGATGCATTGTTGTCAGCGATTCTACGTAACTTTGCTTTGTGGCTGATTTTATCATGCAAACCTTGTCAAAATTGATGTCTGTTTGAGTGGTTAGCCTGGGACTCTAATTTATTCTGGTACTGTCTCTCGGCATCCCTGGTGGCTTTGCAAAGATCATATCTAGATTTTCTGTATAGGTCAGCGTCACCTGACTTGAACGCCTCAGACCTGGACTTGAGTAGGGAGTGGATCTCCCAGTTCATCCACGGTTTCTGGTTGGGCAACACTCGGATTACCTTCTTTAGCACGCAGTCCTCTACACACTTACGAGTGATGTCTGTGATGGTAGTGGCAAACAGGTTGGCTGCTGCGTTCTTGAATATGGACCAGCCCACCAACTCTAAGCAGTCACGTAGGAGTTCATTCGTTACCTCAGACCAGCACTGTACAACTTCCTGTACCAAATCCTCATGCTTCAGTTTCTGCTTGTAAGCTAGGAGAAGGAGCAGAGCCTTATAGTCTGATTTACCAAAATGTGGCTGGAGGGTGGAGCAATATGTATCTTTGATGGTTTGGAACAGGGATTTGGGAATCCTCATCCATGAATTACAAGAAGTTCAGTAGGTAATAGGGAAGGCAAATGGAATGTAGGCCTTTATTTCAAGGTGAATGGAGTATAAAAGTAAGGAAATTTTGTCAATACATGAACAGTTTTAGGCCTTTATCTAATGAAAGATATACTTGTTACAAAGCTATGTCAGCTTCTCAAATACCATCTAAAAATCCAAACATATTCAATCAATTGTTCCTCCTTTATGTGTCCTGTTTGTTATCTTCTCAAAGAATTCTAGTGAATTTGCCAATCATAATTTCTTCTCCTGAAGCCACATTGACTTTACTTAATCATATGATACATTTCTTAATACTCTTTTAAAACACCTGTTACAATATAGGGTTTGCGAGCCAAATCAACCCAGCCTCTCTGTCACTGGATTTGCAACACAGGGTGAAATTAAATCACTCAATGACCCTAAAAACTGTTCAATTGTTCCTAATCAGACTTTACAATCAGTCCTTTGACACCAAATTTATAACTTAAACAAAATTACCAATTTATTATGAAGAACATGAATAAAGAAGAAAGGAAATTACAGCACAGGAACAGGCTCTTCGGCCCTCCAAGCCTGCACCGACATGCTGCCCGTTACAACTAAGGGTGTAACTTTAGCAGAACACAGATAAACCACAAGGCAATCTAATTAATATCTACAGTCTAAACCCAATCATTTTTTAATATAAAGCCCATTCACACACTGACAGCCAGCCAGATGCAGTTAAG